AAATAATAATAAAATATTATTATTAAATTTATTAATATTAAAATAGAATAATGTGAAAAATTTAAAAAGTAAAAGAATACAATAATCAAATAATAAAATGAAGAACATTTTTATTTAATTTTGAACAATCAATTATTTTTGAGATTATAGTTTAGAAAAATGCTATATTTATTTCTATTATTATTATATATATATTATATAATCATATATATATGCATATATCATATATATTACATTAGTAGATGTGAATTCACTATATTTTTTATTTTTAATAATTATATATAAAAAAAAACATAATTTTTTACAAATACTTGATATTATTATTATTATAATAATATCATAATAAACTCTATTTGTTCTTGATAATCTAAAAATATTTTTAACTATTAAAGAAAAAAAATATTAAAATATTCATATATATATACCATAGCAAAACCAGAAAGTAGAGCAGACGTCTTGCTTGACGCTTTAAGTTTCGCTCGGCTGAGTTGTAATTTTCTCCAAGAGAGATAACCCGGCGTGTGAAGGCCATCTCCTGACTGTGACATCTTTGACTAGTTTATAAAAGAAAAAAACAAACAATATAGAGAAATTATATAAATATAAAGTTTGTAAAATAAAATTGAATGAAAGCAAATGATTGCACAATATGTTTAATCGAAAACAGTATGCTAATTTGTCACTGTGCCTCAGGCATCTCGTGACAATTATACAATCTAATTGAAACTGCTGATCTATATTATTGGGCAATGTAATATAATTAAATTAATTAACAGAATTATTTTTTAATATATTTATAAGTTGCGTTAAATAATATAATGATTTTTTATATCTTATAGATATTTTATAGATTTTCTCAAATGAGTTTACATGAAATTATATTTAACTTCTTAATATGTTAATTTGATATTAGCCAAAAGAAGAAACTCTGAATATATTGCATTGCTATTAATATGCTAATTTTTGTTAGTATATATGTGTGCATTTTCTTTTCCTTATAAATAAATAATATATAAAATTTAAACATTTTATATATTCAGCTAAAAATGTTATATAAGATATTACAACAAAATTATTAGACAACTACAAATTATATAAATTCATAAAAAACTTACATGTATTAAAATGATTTATTTTTAAATTTGAATCACAATTATTAACTTGCAAATATAAATCCTAACTCATATTTTTTTGTCTTGAAATAGCGATCAATATATTCATATGAGATTTTAGATTTATGATATATGTTCATGTAGCAAAATCATTGTTGAAAATACATCAGAATAATTGCATATCCAGGGTTACTGAGTATCCGGATAATTGGCGCTCAACTGTACAAGCACGTAAGAAATAAAGACACGTACCGAAAGTAGATGGCAACGTTGGTGCCAATGGGAGAACTTGCCAAAAGTCCTGTGTAGGACAAAAACCCAACGGGTGCTGAACGAAACAAATAACAAGGAAAATTAATGAAAAGATATAATAAAAATAAAAAAAAATTCAACTACTAGATTGATATATCTGCAAAATTTGGCAAGCGATAGAATGATAAAATATCATATTAAAAAAAAAAAAATCTTAATTTCTAAACAACGTAAATATTTTAAAATTATTATAAAATTAAATTTCTTCAATTAAAAAATAAATAAATAAAAAAAAAGAAAATATTCTCTTTTTATGCCTTACTTTTATATAATTAATTAACTTTTTTGATCATATAATTTTTGCTATATTTAGATCAATATAATTATTTTAGATTATGATTAATCATAATCTAAATCAATTTAAATTATCGTTTCCCGTATAATATACATCCGTAGATAATATAAACATATTTTTTTAGTTACTATGAAACTATTAATATATTATGTGTTTGTGCTTTATGTAAGTTGAATTTGCGGACATAGAATAGTTAACACGAAGATAATTATGCGGCCGATATGATTGCCGGATAAAGATGTTGTATTATCAACAGTGATAATAAGTAAGTAATATTGTAATTCGTACAATTCCGATTGAATTTATCAGTATTTTTAAGGATTTCTTGAATATAAAATAATACATATTCAATTTTCTGTTTCTATCGACGAACATTAATATACGAATTCTTTTCCGAATAACAATCATCGACAATTCTCATGAATTTCAATCTAATTTCCTGATTATGAAATCATCAACGGAATGAATTTTAAACAATAATATAAAGAGAGAATGATTTATCAAATAAAAACAAGCAACAAGCAAATTGATCCTTGTTATTGAAGTTCAATTGTAAAACAAAGAGACGTAAAAGATTTGATATACATTTTCATTTGAAAACCATAAAATAGTTATGATTGATTTAATGTGTGAATTTTATGTTTATACGAAATTGTTCCAATATCTGAAATTTTAAAATATATGTAATTAATAATTTAACTAATAATAATTTAAATAAAAAATATTAGATAATAATAATAATAATAATATTAGATAATTTTGATTAATAATACAATTTTATCTATTCATGTATTTTATTGAAATATACATTGTATAATTATATATATATTTAATTTTATAATTATATATATAATTAAAATATAAATATTATATATATAATATATATTTAATTATATAATTATATATATATTTATATATATAAAT